AGCCAGCTCCCTTGTTGATGTCCCATTGATGCGTTGCAGTACATATTTCCTCCCATTTGTTTGTTGTTTCGCTGTATATCTATATTTATTTAACTTTCCCATTTTTCTTTGTATAAATTAACTTGTATAAATGACTAATAATTTTCTTATTGCCACTACCTGTTTCCAATTTTATCAAGAATTCTTCAATTTTAGTGGGCTCTTGGATTTTAGTTCACTCTCTGTGTCTTATTACAAAGTCCCTTAGTTGTAAATACCTAAAAAAAATCTGTATTGGGGAGTGTGAATTCCGCTCTTAGTTGTTCAAAGAATTTAAGGCACCCATCTTTGTGAAGTTGGTGTAGATTTGTAAGGCCTCGTTTAGACCAGTTTCTGTACTGGGTCCATCTGTGAGGGGACAAAATCATTTATAAGACCAATGTTGGTTAGTGCTGAGATTGATTTAGGCAGTCCATAAGTTATCTTTATTTTCCTCCAAATTTTCAGTGTGGTCCTAGTCCATTCGCTCATCTGAATCTCCCTAAGCGGGATGTCCGAAAAAAGCGAGTCTGTAAGGACCATTTGCATGTGCCTTTCTCAATATTTAGCCATCTTGTGTGTATAGGATCTTGCAGCCATGCTATTAGAGGTATCAGCTGCGCAGCCCAAAAATACAATCTGAAGTTTGGAAGTTTAAGACCTCCATGTGATTTGGACAATTGAAGTACTTTTAGTCTGACCCGCGGGGGTTTTGATTGCCATATGAAATTTGTAATCAACTTGTCTAATTTATCAAATGTAGATTTAGGAATGTCTACAGGAAGCATCTGGAAAGGATAGAGTAATTTATTGTAGTACATTCATTCGTATACATTCAACACAACCTATCATGGATAAGGAAAGTGTCGACCATCTGTCCAACTCCTTACTAATGTTTGAATTAAGGTTGTGTAATTCACATCCAGTAGGTTTCCTAATAGTGGGGGGATTCTGATACCCAGATATTTAATTCCTTCTTTTGGCCATTTGAAACCACTCTGGGCCTTGAATGTGTGAGAGATTGCATTCCCTATATCCATAGCTGTTGTTTTTTCTATATTA